TCGACAGAATAAGGTTTTGATAAACTACCGGCCAAGTAGCATCTAGATCCGTCGGCGCTTTGAGAAAAACAAACAACTGCACAACAACTCGTGGGCTCAGGTTGCATTTCCAGCATGCTTAATTAAGCAACAGCACATACTCGCTCACGCGCTGCTACATTAGTTGCTTGGACCTGCAGCACCCCTCTCGCGTGCGAAGTTGTAGTGTAGTACTCGCCCTTTTTGGATGTGGTTGGGGCAAGTCGCCCTCATGTTTCAAGATTGATGAGGAGGCTGCACGGCGGGGTAGGAGCAGGAAGCCGAAACTAACACCGAAACCGAAGACAACAAAAGCAAAGCCGAAGGCTTCTGTAAAGAAATCTCCAAAGGCCAAGGCTTCTCCGAAAGCCAAAGCAAAAGGCAAAGCAAAAGCGAGTGCACAGAAACCACGAAAGGACAAATCAGCCAGGAATGAGAGGAGTCAGCCAGAAGAAACAAAGCCTCAGGAATCTCAGGTAGACCCGCAGCCAGTCTTGAAGAAGCCAGCTGCAGCAGGTTCATGTCATGTTATGTTGTTCAGCCCTGAAAGATGATGCCTCGAGATGGTGTGCCAGACACAAAGTTTCACGAGATCGCAGCCACTTGTTTGCATTTACTGAACAGCCCATGTCAACGACAACATGTTGACACACACTTGTGCACAACCATCACCGCATGTCACCGCCCTAGCCTCATGTGTCAGTGGTTGATTTGCCCATGCGAGGAGTTGCTGAAGCAGGAGTTGCTGAAGAACAAGGGGGGATGCAACGTCAGCAGTTTTGATGAAGGTTGCGGTGCACTGTTTGTCTTGGATTCTGCACATTTGTGATTGAACAAGCAGTTAACCACTCAGTTAACCATGATGTTATGTCACTGCACTAAATGAACTTGCCAACTAGCCATTTGTAACCGCTTGAACTTGGCAGGATGCATTGCTTGATGCCGCGGAGAGAGAAGCATTGGAGCCTACCACTAGGAATGCCAAGGATTCGAGTGATGACCTGCCCCTAGAGGGTGAGAAGAAGAAGAAATGGTTGAACATGATGAGAGCCTGTAGTGCCATAAATGGCAGTGTCAATTTTTGTGTAATAGCTTGCGCCTCTTGGACATGAGTGCTGGTGGCGATGGAGAAAATGAAATGCTTTGTGCACATGCAGCGTGTTGTTTTGTGTCAGCGGCTAGTCCTTTGTGCCTTGTGCTCACTCCTTGTTGCAAAGTTCTTGTTGTATTGAGTGTTTTGTTGCTGGTGGTTTGCACTGTTTTGGTTTAATGTTGTTGATTAACTTGCATCATTCTTGGCACTATTTGAGCTTGAAAAACTGGAACCCTGGTTACAAACTGGAACCCTGGTTAGCTGGCAAATTTTTTTTATTTCTTCCGGGTAAAAAACGTTTACTTCGCTCCAGGACACAGCTCTTCTAGGATGTAGTTAACCAACCACTATGCTTGTCATTGACTAAGTGACTGTCTCAAAGAAAAACGCGACAAAGTAGCAGGAGGTGACGCACAGCAGGCACTGTAGATGTTTTAGCGTACTCTCGCTGTTCAGCTCCCGACTAGTCTTTGTACACAGGAAAGATAGTGTTGTGTTTCTGCAGAACGACGTCCGCAAAGGATTTCTGAGGAAGAAGTCACGGTATGAGACATGCAGTTGGTTATCCAAGCTCAAAACAACGAACACGAAACGAAACGCGCCTAAGCCAAACTAAACAAAACGTAGGTAAGGCCAGGAGCCCCTAGTAGCGTCCTTGCTCCTGATAGTTTCGTCACGTAGGAAGTCTGAGTGGCGAGTTATCTGTTAATCCCGCCACAGCCTCGATACTCCAAGCTCATAACAACGAACACGAAACGAAATGTGCCTAAACCAAACTAAACGAAACTAAACGAAACGTAGGTTTCCTGCTAGTAGCTTAAGGGCAGGAGCACCTAGTAGCGTCCTGCCAGGATCTAGGTAATCGACATAGGTGTGTAGTTGTGTTATTCATGAAACCCTCCACCAATGGGTCGTGGTCTATTGTCCTTCCAGGGGGTCTAACGGGGGTCTCCTGGATCCAGGATTCATCAACCGATTCTGACCCAAGTCTTTGGGCAACGGCTTCGCCCCGACCGCGCCGAACGTCGACTCCATGACGCGTATTTGCACCGAGTGGAGTTGATTCGGCGAGCTCGATGTCCTACGGGATGAAAAATGCTTTCGGGCCCTTAGTTTCATCACGTAGGACGTCTGAGTGCGAGTTATCTGTTAGGTGTGCAGTGTGAAGTGAGTTGAGGTAATGTGTGGGTCTCTGTGTGTGTATCTATGTCCGTGTGTATATGAGTCTCTGTCTCCGTGTGTGTCCGAGTAAGTTGCGGCACTACGTGGGTCTCTGTGTGTGATGTGTGTGTGTGTGTGAGTCCCTGTCTGTGTGTGTATGTCCATGTCTGCTGCTGGTGAAAGTCTTCTCTGTACATATACTGAACCACTTAGCGCGCAGGCCTCCCAAACCCCCCACCGGCGGCCAAGCGGTGACAGCCCAGCTCATCGTCGCGCGCCAAAGTTGTACTACCAAGTCGCCAGTTCTCATCTTCTAGCTATCCAGCTACTCCGCGTACTACAGTTGTATGACAAAGTCGCCACAGATACTCCGCGTATTCAACTTGTACTACCCACTCACCAGCTCTCATCTTCCCACTCCCCAGCTACTCTGCGTACTAAAGTTGTACTACCAAGTCGCCAGTTCTCAGCTTCCAGCTCCCCAGCTACTCCGCGTACTAAAGTTGTACTACAGAGTCGCCCGTTCTCAGCTTCCAGCTCCACACATTGCTCCGCGTACTCAAGTTGTACTACAAACTCGCCAGTTCTCAGCTTCCAGCTCCCCAGATAGTCCGCGTACTCAAGTTGTACTACCCACTCGCCAGTTCTCATCTTCCCACTCCCCAGCTACTCCACGTACTACTGTTGTCCGACCACGTCGCCAGTTCTCAGCTTCCAGCTCCCCAGCTACACCGCGTACTAAAGTTGTACTACAAAGTCCCCAGTTCTCAGCTTCCACCTCCACGGCTTGCTCCGCTGCTCAACGAATCGCGCTCTCGCCTGCATTTCGCGCACTCGACACGCATGATCTCCGCAGAGGGTCGCGCGGTCACTCCACAGATCGCGCTCTCGCCTGCATTTCGCGCACTCGACACGCACGATCTCCACAGAGGCTTGCGCGCTAATTGCACAAATCGCGCTCTCGCCTGCATTTCGCGCACTCGACACGCACGATCTCCGCAGAGG